GTTAGCCATTTTCTTGGTTGGTTTTTGTTCTCTTATTTCCATTGATCTCTATTTAGTTTTCCTGATACAATACTCCCCTCAGTACTTCTTGTAGAGCTGGTTTAGTATTAGTGAATTCTATCTCAGAATACCTTTATTCTCCTATTTGAAGGATAATATTGCTGGATGTAGTATTCTTGGTTGAACTCATTTTCCTTTTAATGTTTCGAATACATCTTCCCATTCTTTCCTTACCTGTTTTGTTTCAGTTGAGAAGTCTAAGGTTGCCTAATGAGATAACCTTTATAAATAACTTGACATTTCGCTGTAGCCATTTCAGAAGGTTGTCTTGATCTTCGATTTTTTTACCAATCTGGTTATGAATTGCCGGGGGCAGGATCTGTTAATGTTGATGCTATTTCGAGTCCTTTTTATTTCTTGGGTCTGAATTTCTCCATGTTTCTCTATATTTGGAATTTTTTCAGATACTATTTCATGAAAGAGGTATTCCATGCCTTTAGCAGCTTCTTCACCTTCTGGAATACCCATTATATGGATATTTGGGCATTTCATAGTGTCTAGAATTTCCCATATGTTTTCCTCATTTTGGAGGGGGTGTTTTTTCATTCTTTTTAGTGATTTTAATTTCTTGTATGGTATTCTTCATTTTCAGAAGTTCCGTTTGATTCTTTTTTAGGGTGTCTTATCTGTATAAAATTCCTCTTCCATGTCCTGAAATGATTTTCTCATTTCCTGAAAATGATGGTCTGTTTTCTCTTGCATCTCATTGAGTTTTGTCACTATGAATGTTCAGAATTCTTTTTCTGACATTTCTGTGTATTCCTTTGTGCTATCTATTGTTAGTGAGCAGCTACTGTGCTCACATGGGGGAGAGTTACCTTCTTGTTTTCTCATGTTTCTTTCAGATCTGTGCTGGTTTTTGGTCATCTGATGCAGTATTCACTTTTTCTTATTTATTGGAGTAGATTCTATAGCATTGAAGGAGGGAATTTCACCCTTAGTTCCCAGGTGTGTTCCTAATGGAGGGCTGTGTCTCCCAGATTTGAACAGTTAAAGGTAACTTCAGGTGCTTGGCTCCTTTACTAAACTTTCAGCTCTTGATGTGGTGAGTGAAAGCTAAGAACATATAACTTAGTGAAGAGAATCAAGTCATGTGGTGTGCACAGGCTGATGTGCTACAAGTTCCAAAGTTATTCCTGGGGACTCACAAGAAGAGGCCTGCCAAATCCATTCTGTTGGTAATAACAGAGTTGCCTGACTCTGGGTAATTTATAAAAATAGAGATTTATTCAGCTCATATTTTGGAAGTCTAAGGTCCAGGGGCCACATTTGGTGAGTGTCTTCTGGCTGGAATCACATGTCAGAGGGCAGGAACTTGAGCAAAACAGTACATGTATCCATCTCATTTCCTTTCCTTATAATCCCACCCACCAGATCAAATGGGAGCCCCACCCTGATAACTTTTCCAATCCTAATCGCCTCTCAAAGGCAATTAATCATCCTTATCTCATAATCAAATTAAGTTCCTTCCCTCTTTATACCTTCACAATGGCTTACCAAATTTCAACATGTGAACTTTGGGGAGTGACACATTCAAACAATAGGCACCTGACTATTCTCGAGTGTGATTGTACCACAGTCAGACTCAGTACCTCATTTCTTTTTTTTTAATTCCTAGAGGATACAATCCCAGGGAAAGAGAGAAATGAGAATGGGAGAGAAAGAGAAAGCACTCCCAATGGGGCATGGTCACACTGCAATATCTCTTCTATTTCCTCCATTTTTACATTACGTCAGAATTTGGGGCATGCATTCACACACACTTGGTATACTTCTCAAGCCACTAGGGGCAGGACTCAAACTGTAGTCAGTTATGTGGGATCCAGTTTCCAGTGCATAGCTCCTAACCATTGCACTACCAGTTTTTGTGATAAACAAAAAGTTCCAGCTGATTTCCCAAATGCCCTCCAGTTTAGAATCAGTCTGGCAAGTTTCTCATAAAATCCTATTGCTACTTAATTGGGATTACACTGCATATAGAAATCAATTAAAGCTTTTTTTTTTTTTTACAATGTTGTAGCCTCCCAGTAGCAATACAGTTCTCTTTGTTGATTTATGATTTTGTATCCTCTAGGGTCCTGGCAGGAAACAGATGGTACATTAAAGTGAGAAATTGACAAGTTCAGTGAAGTGACTTTATGTATTTGGATAGGATTTAAGGAAATAAAAAAGGATGATGCAACACTTTGAAGATGGGAGCAGGAGGGGACTTCCCAACCCTAGGCCTAAAATGGCAAGGGAAGGGACAATTACTGGGTTTCAGGTAGGGGAGCATCACCCGACAAGAGCTTTGTTGGAAGGCTGCATCCTAACCAGGGTGAGGTAGAGGAAGAGAGTTAAGGTGGATAAAGGGTCTGCATCTCCCTCCTGCCCTCCAATTTCCAGCAAAGGTCTCCCACTGGCCAAACCCAGCCAAAAGTCAGTAAGCAAGGGCAAGCTGCTGAAGTTCATACAGCTCAGTCTCCAGGGACACAGAGCAAGATGAAAAGGTTCAGAGAGTAGACTTGGCTAGGTAGAGCTCTTCGGTACATGCCTCCTTCCCATGTCATAACTCCCTCCTCTGCAACCTTAGTTCTTAAGCACTTCCTACCAATTTTCTTCCCAAGCATTTCATATTTTACTGTTTCTTTTTTAAAAAAGAATTATTTTATTTAACTGTATTTATTTATTTAAATTTGACCAGAGAGGGACAGAATGAGAGAGAGAGAGAGAGAGGGAGAAAGAAAGCCATCAGGTCTAGGACTCGAATCATGGTCAATCATGTGGGAGTCCAGTGTCCTTAACCACCATGCCACCTGCCGGCTCCATATATTTTACTGTTTCTAATTGACTCTCTCCATTACCAACTTGCATCAGTTATTGTTTATATGTGAGAAAGCTTTTTTTTTAGAGGTTTTTGCTATAGGGTGTGTGCACTTGCCAGAGAGAGACAGAGAAACAGAAAGCGAGAAATCACCCCCCAGGGGGGATGGCCACGCTTCAATCCCTTCTCCTCCGTTCTCCTCTCGGGATCTTGGGCACGCACGCACATGCGCCCGGCATGAGTTTTAAGCCACTGGGTCCAGGACTCAAACCTCGGTCGACTACATGGGAGTCCAGTGACATAGCCATTACGCTAACTGCTAGTCCTGAGAAAGCTATTTTTAAAGAGAGATATTTGCTATAGGTTGCAACTACTGTATATTGACTCTACCTACAAAAGACCCTGATAATTAGTTAAGAAGGTAAGAATTCTTTGGGGGCCACACTAAGAAGTAAAGCTTTATGTGACACTAGACACAGACACAAAGTGAGAAATCACTCCAGGGGCGGCGGGGAGAATAGCCACACTGCAATACCTTCTCCTCCA